ATTCTCAGACCCACAAGTGAGCCCATTTAGAGCGCGAGGATTAGCGTGCCATTGTTGTTCCGTGTGTGACTCTGTACTTGAAATTCTGGGGACACAAAGGCGAGCCTCACTTGTTCCAAACACAAAGTGATCCAGATGAAAGAGCCGCACAAAGAAAAGCTGTCGGGTGCACCCCCTGGTATAATTGCAACACGCAGGCTCAGGTGATCCACTGGAAACTGTAAATGCCCCTGGGGACTTGTGTTTCTCAGCCGACCCCACCCTCACCCCGCCGCACCTGGCAGGGAGAGTTCAGCTGGTTTGAATGTGGTGCTTGTAGAGAACCAAGTTACTGTCTGGGATGTGAGTGAAGATCGGTGTGCTTGTGGCTGTCAATGTGCGGCGGCTGCATGTCCCCCAGTAAATACATATTGCATCTCCCCTCTCGTGGTTAGCAGTCAGTCGCAGTTTGGAGGAGTTTGTTTTGGTCCAAATGAGAAATTAAGTGCGGATAAGTAAACTAAGCTGCCAGAGGGCGACAAGATGTTGAGTGAATTGCTTTTAGATGAAACAAATTAAGGGAACGAGGAAGACAATCTGCTTCTCGCATTATTAGACACACTTGGAGTTCAGGGGAAAGCGGCATATTTTTGAAATGCTAATTTCTTAAGGAGCAGAAGGAATGCACCTTATTTACTGCTCTATGTGGATAGAATAAAAATATGGGGGGGGGAGACGATTCTCTTGTATGGATTTAAGATATTTCTTCAAATAATTGTAACTGATGAGGACCTTTGCTTCTTTGCTTGGAAAAAATATCAGCTTTAGAGAAGGCGATTGTTTTTTCCAGTGACTTATTTTATCGAGAAATATTATAGTCAAGGGCCCTTTCTACAGATACTATAAAGCCTTCATCACTAAAAGGAATAATTTCCAAATTTCTGTCTTCCTGAAAGATAATCAATATTACCTTTGTATTGAAATGAACTATGTGGTAGTATTGAAGTGATAGCCTTACATACCTTAACAGATAAGTGACTAACCAGTCCAGTTCCTATTTCTTATTTGCAAGTATCTTAGTCCTGCTTTTCATTCTACAAAAGAACATACATTTTCCTACATATTTAAGATATGTCTCCAATATTAGGGGCTGTTTTTACAGTTAGAAGAAAAAGGTTACTAAAACAGTTAAAAGATGAAAATGATATTTAAAAAAACACACATCAATACTTTTTCCTACATGTGTTTGCTGTGAGCAGACCCATGGGTACACTGTTCCTTTTTTTTTCTTCTTTTAATTTTGAACTTACATATGTAAAGGGGGTCTTTTAGAAGGTATTATTTATTTCTTCAGAAAGCTTCTTAATACATTTATGCTTATTAATATAACTGCTCATCACTTGAAAACACTCTAATATGGACTGTTGTGATAAAACTTGAAAGATTTTTGGTTGTGTCATGATTCTTGTTTTCTGATTTTCTTCTCAAATGAAACTGCTTTTATTTATTTTAATCATGCATGCATCAAAAGTCAGTTTTTCTGAAAATCAAGGCACTTACTGCTGTATATATATTTTTCATTTAGTCACTGGAAATGTGTCTTAATTAAGAAATTACATTAGAATATTTCCCAGGGCATGGGTTTCATGGAAGAGTTGCATTTTTTTATATACTAATGTGAACACAGTAAGTTTGCACTGGCAGAATTTTAGAGTTTGCATTCATTTGAGGGAAAATCATATTTCCTCCTTAAAGTGGATTCAAATATTTAATATTCATGAGCTTTCATCCCTTTGGTTCTTAAATAGAAGTACTATTTATCATCTGTCTTATGCATTCATCTTTTCCATAACTATGGATTCTTTTTTTATATCTTATTGTTTATTGAGTTTACACATGTGAATATATATTTTCCCTCCACCACTAAGCATATTCTCGTGTGTGTGTGTGTGTGTGTGTGTGTGTTTACCAGCAACCTGCCACTCAGCCTCTGCAGGAGTCCTCTGAGCCAGTTTTCATTCTTTCTTTCTGATAAATCTGATATGGCTGGTTGGCTGGACGATCGCAAGCCATTCCATTGCTCAGATTTATTCCTGAAAGAAAATAAAAAGGCATCGATCCAAGATCACTAGCACATCTTAAAAGTCCTGACTCCAAGGCCAAATATTTCTACAGAGAAGTCCCTTTTTCTCTCCCTCTTTCTCTTCCTGACCAAGGAAAGGAGGTAGACCACTGCCACTGAACAGAAAAGCTAGGGATGCAAGCATTTGGGGATGTTTTTGAATATTCTCTGTAACTTGGTGATTAGAGTCCTCTTAAGATTAATGACTATGTAAGGTGTACTTTTAGAAAATAAATTGAATTAGGGTGCCTTATACTTTGCGATGCTTTAAAGCTGTGTCACTTTTACATTATTTCAAACAAATTATTAAGAAAACTTAACATATATTAAAAATAGCAGCAAGTTTTTGCTTTATTTTACAGTGTTCTGCTGCTGTTGGATATTCATGTGTAATTTTTAAGTGCCTAAAACATCAATATGACAAATTTCATCCTTTTTGAGAAATACAGTTTTGTAGAAATGTTAATGCCTACATTGAAATTAGCTTATACATGTTTAAGCCTACAGCTATTCTATAGAAATTAATTATCAATTATGTTCTATTGTTATCTTTTAAAATGATCTACTGAATCTGTTGTGCAGGCTAGAAATTAATCAAATTATAAACTTTTCTCCAGGTTACATCATTTTAGAAATTATCTACTATGTTACATTTGAGCACTTGGAAACAAATTGCATCTTTTCGCTAATACTCATTTTCTAAATTATTATAATTATTGGGCAGTTGGAGTAAACCCTTACATTTCCTGCTTTCCAATACAGTTATTGATTGGGGATTACAGTTTATAATGACAAATGATTTCTTAATTTGTCTGTTTTTTTTTTTCCAATGAAAAGATCCTAAATCAATGTTTCCTGAAGCTGTCACTCTTCTGCATAATTTGAAGATTTTAAGTAATTTTGTGGGTGTGACATAGGACATAAGAAGGTGGTTTAGATTGTGATTTCTACATTGGGGACAGTTCCTCTATTTCTTCTTAATACCTTGAGCAACTTCATGTCTTTGTCACTTGGCCTGTGTGCTGGGGGGTGGGGGAATGTGTAGGGGAACATGTACTCTATTTCTCCACTGAATAGCAGTTTTTTGAAAAATGTGACATTGAGGTACATTCCAGTAACAAGTTAATTGACAT